TTTTGGAATCTAAGAAGGAACTTAGGCTTAAAACAGGAGAGCTGCCAGATAGGAAGGCAATGAGCCACGAGGGCTTTTCCATAAGCCGTGGGCCGGTTGTCCATACGAAGCAGACAGGGCAGTGACAGACTTCTTGTAACTGATAAATTGGCTGCTGTTGAGCCGATGGGGCTGGTGCTCCTGCATCTCTGTGGAGATGCTTCAGAGTGGCCTTGATCATTCAACAGAAAAAAAATGTTCAAAATCTTAATCCCTTTGAAGGGAGCGCAGACTGTCTGCTTCTAATGTGACTGCTGCAACCTGGATGTTCATTAACTAGCTAGTTGCTCTATAAGCCGTAATTTTCTCATGAATAAAGATTTTTTAAAGAAAAAAGGTACTGTGCCCTTCAGCCCTTCATTGTCTCATTTCATAACCAACAAAGACGAAGGTGGCAAGCATCACTGATAATGTGTCTCTCCTTTGGTGTTGGGGTCCCCCGTCAAGGCAGAAGTAGCCTTTGAATACAGGAGAATTTGGGGGTTTGGGCTTGCTTTCCTCCTTTGTGGCATTCTGTGATGTGAATTGTCACTGATCTTGACTGTCTCACTTAAACGTGTTGATTAGCAGCTGTTTGAAGATGTATGCTGGGCAAGATACCGTAGCCCGAGCTTCTCTATCCAGTATCGCTTCGGTTTCATTTCAGGTGATAACAGCTCTTTGTTCATAGTTCTCCTTGATGCTACCTTGCATGAGAACAAAGTAGTGATACTATTGTGTGATACCACGAAAATCTTCTGGGTGCTGGAGGGGTCTGCTGGCTCATTAGCCATCAGGGTAACTTAAAGGTGATGTAAAGGCAGGAAACTCAGGTCCCTACCAACTACCTCCAGTTCCATTTGTTAGCATAGGAAAATAGGTGTGGCCAAGCAGCCTTTGCTGCTTGGGATTCGTGGTGGCTACCTGATTTCTTATTGCTGATGAACGTAGTTTCCTGAAGGATGTGAATGATTTGGTAGCAATTTAATTTTTTCATTTGAAGTCTTCTGGACAAGCACATGCAAAGTGGTATAAGACCAGTTACATCCAGTTATATCCCTTACCTTTTTAGGCGATTCCATGGGGTCTAGCATGCTAAACACCAGTGTTGGCAATTCAGACCCAACACCCAGTTGATATATGTGTGTGCTTGCAAATGTAATGTGAAATATATATGAATATTGGTGCTAAAGAAAAAGACGCCTCTAATGTTCATGGCTAGGGGAGTATGTATATGGTGCCATATTTGGAATTGAGGGTTTAACAGTGTCATTCTTCACATAGCTTCTCTGCTGTTAGCTCCTCAAATAAGAAGCAGTAACAGATGTTAATTGTTCTACCGAGTTCCTGGATGGTGTAAACTGACAGTTACTCCTTGGACCTGTAGTAAGTAGAATGTCTGTTGCTATAGCAGCGATTGTATGGAAGCAGCAGAAAGCCTGTGAATGTCACCTGCTTGTCGAGCCACGTGGGCAAGGTTCTTCTGACTTGGGGTCGGAACACTTCACCGTGTGTTTTTTTCTATGGTTTCATATCATTCTTGTTCTTGAGGAACGTCTGTCATTAAGCACAGACAAAGCGTCATTGAAAGAATTGAGCTCGCTTTCTTTCTTGCCTATCCTTTAGGAAGCAGAAGCATATGATGTCTTATTACATATTGGAGAAGTCAGATCTGTGTGGATGGGTAACTATGCCCGTTGCTTTGGGGGATTCAGGGGTATTATGACAACACAGGGACCTTAATTTGTAAAGACATAATAGTGGGTGGGAAGTGTTGCTGGGATTTGTAACTCTTACTAGTTGGAAATGAGCAATCTTGATAACTCTTGCTCTCTTATGACCTTTTTATCTCACAATTTTGTGCAAACACCCCTTTTCAGCAATATTTCACCTTCTAATTCAAAAACCTTAGGAAGGGCATCAAGATCACGATGTATTCCAGAATATTTTGGCAGTTCTGAGCAACAATTTGCATTATCGGTAAGATGGCTTGGGCAATGTGCCTTGTAGACCTTTCTGTCAGAAGGCATTGGATGACTGGGTAAAATAGCTTCTTTTAGTGTCCCTCATCATCCAGAGTATAAATTGCATGTATTTTTTTGGAAGAATGGGAAAATATTATAGGGTCTCTGAAGTCATTAGAAGCTGTTTCTTCTTTTTCTGTGCAGATGGGTGTCCTAGTAGTTTTGCAGGTGGGTGGAGGTGTAATGGGTTGGGGCTGCTAGAGCTAGAGGTTGGGGAGAATCCAGTTTAAATGAGCAGTAGGCTTGTCTAATTAGGAGTCCAGCAGCATTACCTTTCCAATATTTGGTCTAATTTAGATTTATACACAGCATTCTGTAACTCAAAGCTATTTGTTCACTCGATTGAGTATTATAAATTACTATTCCTTACTTCTCCTGAAACCATCTGGTTCTTGGTTTTCCTGTTAATGTAAAGCAGAGCCTACTGGAGAGCTGCCATAGCAGTGAATAAACCCTAGAGCATCCTGGGGGGGTCTGCCTGGCTATCGTGGCTGTGGGGAATGGTGAGTTAAGGGAGATCTCAAAGACCTGACTCACTTCAGCAATGTGCCTCTCTGCAGGACAAGTAAGTCGCAGTAGCAAAGATCAGGAAAGCCTCCCAATAGCTTTCAGATGATTCACGCAATAAAGAGACATGTCTTTGCCTTCATAAGACTCCTGAATGGTCTTCCAAGCAAAGGAGAAGTGTGCTTTAAATGAGTAGGGAATGTGATCATTTAGGTTTGTCTATGGATCCTCTGTATTGGTTAAAATGTTGAGGATCTTTGGAGTTAAACAGTCCCTTGGTCTTCAGCTGGGTAGAGTCACACAACTACGCCTTTAGCTGAATAGGACTAAGAGAAGAGCCACTTAGATGTTTCCATTTGGAAGTGACAGACTGAGCGGAAATATGTTGCTTTAAAATTTAGGTCAAAAGCAACTTTGTTTCCCTAAGAGCGATATTTATGTGGGCTTTTTCCGAACAAAATATTTCCACAAGAAACAATTTGTTAGAACTCTGTATTGCTTGGACTAATTCCTTTTTGTGGGAAAATGAAAACTCTGATTTATGAAACTAAATTTCATCTTATTCCAGATTAAAACAGCCTATTATTAATCCAGCGACCCAAACATCTCTGAAGAAAATCTGAATTCTAAAATAAAAGTGGTATTGACTTTTTAGTTACATTATCAAATAAATATCTTGGGGAAAAAAAATCCTCATAATGAGAAAATAGATGTTAATAGTGCCTTGGATCCTACCAGAAGACTAAGTTTCCTTTCAAAACATCTGGTGAAAGAATGCTGATTTCCACTGTTTCAGGTTTATCGCAGGTCAGTAGATATTTTTTTCTGATCAAAGGACATGATTACAATGACTTATCTTATCCAAAAAGGATATTGTTCTACATAACATTTTTTATTTGAGATAAGTGTTCAAGAAACAGATTAATGAAGAATATTTCCTTACTTTTTTTTTTTTTTTTTTTTTAAATTTCCTTTTTGGTCTCTGATTCTTTACTTCAAAGTACAAATCTTCAATTGTCTAGCTAAATATTAATGATTGGTCGCTGGTTGCTCAGTTGAAAGAGGTATCTGCAAGCTTAGTCGTGAACTGAATAGTGTTAATAGTGTTTCTTGATTTTTTTTACCTATGTATTTAGTTTCCTTTCTTTTCCTGTAGCTGTTTTTGGAAAGACATCCAAAGAACTTTTTTAGCAGAATACTGCACACCAAATTATTGGAGGGAGAAATCCTACAAAAAGGCTTCTTCCCA